TTGTTTTGTTAGGAGATTGATGCGCGGCGGTTGGTAGAAACTGGCGGGATGTCCGTGCCTGCCCTTCTGGGCATGCTCACTGGGGCTCCTGAGCATGCTCAGTTGGGCCAGGCACGAAAATCCTTTTAAGAGAGCTTGCTAGGCACCGGCAGATCCAGCGCAGGTGCACTAGATCCCATTGGTGTGAATGCACAGATGACCACTCGAAGATCACCAGTTACTGGTAAGCAACCTGTTTTTCATCTTGAAAAAACTCAGGCCTCTTGTAGGCAGTCATGTGGTTGAGGGGTAATGTTTGGGGTGTTTTGTTGTTGTTGTTGTTTTGGGATGTGAAAGGGAGACCATGCAAGGCAGGTTGCAGTGGCCCACTACTTTGATTACTTCGCTGAGCCTTACAACAGCTGTGCAGGAGAGGTTAGCATAAAGTGATCCCTAATATAGTGGTGGGTAGCGGCTGAAATCATTGTGGCTAGTCTTTGAGCTAGAAGGTGAGACTCAAAGTGGGGATTTCCTGATGTGCAGCTTCTTCGAGCAGCCCCATTCTCTGTAGACTGTGGGTACTCTTGACCTTCGCAACATGACTGGACATGTCACAAATTGCAGAGGATTGGAATTGTCAGGCTGCATCAGAATCCTTTGTTTTCTTATCTGGAAGTAAAACACCCTGAACTCATAAAAGGGTTTACATCTGAGTAATTACGTGAAGGATCAAGCTGTAAGCGGTCTCGAGGGATGCGGTGTGTGGGTTGTAGCTCCCCTGTGCATCTTTGTGATATCCCTGCTATACCTGAAAGGAAAAAGCAAGTTAGTTTTTTTGCCTGAAATGAACAGCCAGTTGTTGGATGTTAAATCCAACAAGATGGGAGTCCACAAGGAACTGTGGAGGGAAACAAATTGAAAATGCTCTTCCTCAAAATGTCCCCTTCCAGAAGTCAGTCAGCACTCAGGGGTATGAGCAGGGTGATTTCTCTTCCCCCATTTTTTAAAAAACTAATAGTCATTGGTCTGAATGTTCAGTCCCTTCTAGAACATATTTAGGTCTCGTCAGACTGTTTTTTTCCTCTTTCTCTTTTAAATAATTTACAAAATCATAGTTTTCTGCATACGTGAGCAGTCCCCCAGTTGGTAGAGATCCCACCTTATCTGTGGGTAGCCCTGTTGTGTGGCTTCAGTCACCCACCCTCAGGCCAACCAGTTTACAATGACACTGTGAGGTGATTCACACTTGCACATTTACAGTCTGAGCCACTGAGCTATGGACCACTGATACACATGGCTCATTTATTAAGCTATGTGTTTCACAAAAGAGACAAGCCTACTTTGTGGGCCTTTTCTATCACAAAGGCTTTCCCTTGAGAATCAAACTTTCTGGCTTCCTCCTCAGATTCAACTTCTGTTGCAACAGAATATTCCCTGAAATTTGATGAGTCCATGACAGAAGATGAGATTGAAGAAAAGTCCTTCCGATCCTTGCTACCTTCTGAGAGTCACCGCCGGATTAACTTGAAGAAACGAGGTCACCAGGATTATTCTGATGAGGACGCTCCTCCTGGAAAACCAGCCTTGTCACCTGTCAAAGCAAGTTCTCAATATTTGGTGTCCTCATGTGTTTGAGACTCTCCCAAGGAGTTTAAAATGGCCAGTTATTCACAGACAGGCTCTGAAAACTTCATTAAGAATATCATGTCAAACAGACATGCAAAAATTGCATAAGGCCCAGTAGTCACTTCTAAAATAGAGACTTTCATCTCTAGAAATAGAATTAGGTGTGGAGAACGGAATAGAACTGAGTCTAAGACTTACCTTTATCCTCCTGAAAACCTTCCATACAACAGCATTTCTTTCACATTCGCTCCCTGGCAACTGCAGTGTATTTTTCAAAGAGAGCAGGGATGTAACTTCATTGCACAAATAAAACCCCTTTGTTGAACAGAGGGTGCGTTCAGACGGGGGCTTTACAACGGTTAGGGTGCCGGTTCCAACCGGTGTACTTACGGGCATTCAGACGGCGAACATCTGCCTCCCGTCCCTAACCGTTGTAAATCCTTTTACACCATTACACTCTGCCACTAGGTCCCAAGTGGTGGTAAACAGAGTGCAACGGTGGCTTCCGATGAACCCTTCCGTCTGATCGCTCTCCTCCGGTGCACAGCCACTTCCGTCGGAAGCCTGAGGCTTCCGGCTTTCCCCCGCCATTTTTGTTTTTAAACTAAGCGATATGCGCTCAGGCGAAGCTTCGCCCTGAGCGTTTGTTTAAAAAAAACCCAAAACCCTTACTTTACCGTCCTAGAGGAGTCTGGGACTACAGGGAGGCCAGGCGGGTGGAGGCTTCTTCCTCGCCGCCGTTCCCACAAGTTGTCCTGCCTGGCGAGAAGTTTGCGGCGGGGCTCTCCTTCCTCCAGGAGGCGCACCTGGGTGCCGGGCTTCCGGAGGGAGGCAAGCAGCTGGAGAAGGCAGCCCTGGTGCGGACCCGCCGAGGCAGCAGCGTTCCGCGGGGACGAGAGGGGGCCGTGTGAGCTAGGGCGCCTGGCATGGGAAGGATGCCACCCTGGCAAACCCAGCTCCGCCGCCGCCTCCCCCTCGCCTCTCTGCGCGCGCTGGCACCCGGGAATGGCAGCAGCAGCAGCCGCCCCTGAAGGGCAACGCCACCGCACTTCGGAGCCTGGACTGGCCAAGCATGCTCCCCGTCTCCCACGCCCCCCCCCAGCAGCGAGCGACTCAACTGCAAGGAAGGAGCTGCTGCTGCTCCCCGGCTGCTCCAAGCCCGCCGCGGGGGTCAACCATTCTGTGCTGGAGGAATCCCGGGGACTCCTTCCCCATGGAGGGCGAGGAGGAGCGGGGGGGGGCTCGGCAAGGAGGACGCGCCAGCGACGTCCACAGGGTGGATCCATATGGCTTTGAAAGGCCAGCTGACTTTGACTATACAAGGTACGAAGAATTCTTTTCCGGCTATCTAGTGATACTCACCAGAAGAGCAAATAAGTGGTCCAAACTTTTAAAGGGAAATTAAAAAAACAAACAAACTTTAAAGGTAACTGCTTACCTTTAAAGTTTAAATGTAAGGGGGAGGTTGAGCATGCGCAAAAATCGCCATTCTCTGAATGGCTGCCTGTGTGCATGTTCAAACTGCTTTAAAAAAAACCCAAACGCCGACGCCCGCAGCGTGTGAGCGGGCGTCCAACGGAGGGATTCGCAAAATGGAGGGTGAGTCTGATCGCGTTTATGCCGGCAGAAACGCCCCGTCTGAACGCACCCAGAATGTTGTGAGGCCTCAAGTCCGAAGAGATTGAGCCAAAGCTTTACAGACCTGTGCTGCCCCTAAACTCTCTCCTCTTGTTCCTCAGTGTTACTGGCCAGGGGGTTGAACTTTAGGACCCCAGGATCCCTGTTTCTGTGGGCAGGGGCTAGTTGGGGTGTTAATTCGTGCTTCAGAGGAAATGAACTAGCTGCATGTGAGGAGCATTATATGGTGCTCTGCAACCTTAGTGGCTTCCCAAAAGAGAACCAGAGGGGAAAGGCAACAGTCACTTTAGATTCAAAGCATGCACAGGCTCACTAATGCCCAAGATGAGGGTTTTTTTACCAGCTTCTCATTCTACAGTGTTGGGTGTGCATTTTATTGAAACAAGAGGGCGGTGCTGGTCCAGTGATGCTACATAGGTTACTAAAGAGCAGGGGTCATTTCTTGTGGGAGCGCACAGGAGTGGAGCTCTGGCAGTAAGGAGCCCAGGGGGCGGGTACATGCAGCAAGCCCCACCCCCTGCTCCTAGCAGCCCTCAGAGCAAGAAGCAGCCAGGTAAGAAGCAGTCGTGTCCCCCCCGGGCCCGCCTTCAGGTACAAGCTCTCTCTCCTCTGAGGGCAGATCTGCACGTTCCCCCCCCGCCAGCTAGCCCTCCAAAACAGTCCAGTGGAGCCTGAGTGGTGGGTGTTGCTTTCTGACACACTTCCGATGATGTCAGGGGGTGTGGCATATGCTAATAAGTTATGCTAATGAGCTCCTGCACCTCTTTTTCTACGAAATGACCCCTGCTAAAGAGCATTTTCCTTTGCTCTGATTTATGGGGAAAAGATATTTCAGGTTGTTCTGTGGGAACTGAGAGTTTGAACTGTGTCCTTGTTTCAGGAGCTAAGCCTGCCATTCTCAGGAGGTCAAGACAGTTTTTCCAAATTCACAATGGAAATGGTGCGGCAATACATGAAAGAAGAAGAAATGCGGGCAGCTCATCAGTCCTCGCTGCTCCGACTGCGCGAGAAAGCACTGAAAGAGAAGACCAAGGCTGAACTAGCCTGGCTAGAGCACCAGAAAAAGTATGGGAATCCTGGAAGCCAGAAGTGGGAGACTTGAGGGGGAGGGGGAATCCCTTCCCAAGTGTGTGCTTTTCCTCTCTCCCTCCCCAGCCCTTCTGTCATGCAGTGCTCCTCAGTCAGTCTCTGTTTTTCCTTTCTTCCTTTTGCTTGCAGTTTTTTGCAGCATCGGTGCATACAATTTATGTCATATGTCACAATTTAGTCACACACAGATCCGGGGCCTTTAAACCTGAACCAGAGCTGGCCCATATGTTACCAGATGACCAACCCTGCTCCAAAACATCATTTCCTGTAACTGCAAGAAATACTCCCTCTTTGGTCATTCTTTCATGGTAGTCTAGAACATCAGTAAGAGGAATTTGGACGCAGATTTTTTTTTGTCTGCACAGGAGCAACCGCCAATCATTATTAGATCTATGGTAATAGTTTGGTTAAGTGGTTAAGACGCTGAACTGCAGGCTGTGGAAGGTCAGTAGTTCAGCAGTTCGAGACCTGGGTGCCGCAAGATGGAGTGAGCTCCCGTCTCTAGTTCCAGCTCCTGCCAACCTAGCAGTTCGAAAGCAAGAAATTGGTGGGAAGGTAACAGCGTTCTGTGTGCCTTGGTGTTTAGTCATGCCGGCCACATGACCACGGAAACGTCTTCAGACAGCGCTGGCTCTTCGGCTTTGAAACGGAGATGAGCACCGCAACCCTAGAGTCGGATTCGACTGGCTTTCGAGCAAGGGAACCTTTACCTTTAATAGTTTGTAATCCAAGCTTGCACTCCATCCTGAAGTTTTATGTTATGCCATCTGTTGCTATTCTTAGCCTCTGTTACATCTTGGTCTCAATCTTCTCTCCTCTTATTAGTGTTCTGGACTACTGTGAAAAAATGACCAGAAAGGCCATCTGACTCTTGAGGGGGCCTGGGGGGAGTCTTTTAGGGAAAATGGGAGGGGACGACAAGGTGGAACTGAATCAGTGTATGACTTACTTAGGCAGTGCAGAGTTACATCCTCTTAAAACCAACCAGTTTATTGTGGAATTCTATGCAGTGGAATTCACTGCAAATGCACCCCTTTAATCCTTGATAGTAATCTGTCAACATAAGAAATTTCTGGTGCAACACCTTACTTGCAGTGGATACCACAGCTCTCTGCATTGTTGCACAAAGTTTTATGTTCTTACAGCCACGTGTACCTTCTTAGAGCTGGAGTTTCAGCCTGTATGTTTTTAAACTCTACATTCAAAAAAAGCATTATGTGCTAAGTGGAAGTTTAATCGTGAGGGGGAGGATATGTGTGATAAAATAAACAGCAGTGTAGCTTCTGTATATCACTGTAAACTCTGGGTATTATTTAAAGGGAGAGCATGCTTGGATACTATTCTGTTATTGATAAAGAAATATAAAAATGGACATAATAAATAAAGGACAATTATTGTCAAAGCATCAACTAGAGATAAACCATATTATTCCCTGGATTCAGTACCATCAGTTACATGATATGGCACTTAAATCCAAAATGCACTACTCACTAGAGACTTGACCATCTTTGAACAATTGCTAAAATCTGAAACAATGAAAACTCAGGGACTGATCTCAACAATATACAAGATACTAAATCAAATGCAATGGTCCAGTGTATCTAGCTGTCAAAAAGCATGGCAAAAGGACTGCAACATGGTTATACATGAACACCAATGGAATCTCATCTGGTCTTCCACTACCTGTACGTCAAAATAATTAAATATTCAGCTACAGACTCTTTTATTACAAATCATTAAGCAGCCTGTTATGTTGGAAAGGCTGTCAGAATGTAGGAACGTTTGTTCATTGTTGGTGGATATGTCCAAAACTCCAACCATTTTGGACTAAAATTCTTAAAATTATACGAGATATTACTCACCATGTAATCCCACCCAAACCTGAAACTCTCTTGTTGAATCTCTGGCCAAAGAATGATATTCCAAAGCAAAGACGAGAACTCATTGCCATACTACTAATAGCTGCAAAGATCTTATTAGCTCAGAAATGGAAGTCAGATGAGAATCCCACAATTAAGCAATGATTTTTAAAGGTGTGGGACTTTGTAGTGATGGACAACATCTCAGATCAGTTGATAACTGCAGACAATTCTGCCTATCAGTCATGTCTTATAGAAAAATTGTATGGTTTCTTCGATTACATTTCAAATAATTCTACAAGTGAGAATGTGCTACCTAAGAAATATTTGCACTTTTCATTGTATTAACATCCCGAATGTGTAAAGCTCCCCCTTTCAACTATTTTTAGTGTTACTGTTGCCTGATTTGTTTGTTATAATGTTGTATTGTTATTACTGTTTATAACTTTGTATGTACCTTTTCTAAAATTTAATTTAAAAATATTTTCAGAATAGCCAAAAAAAAAGAAATATAAAAATGCAAATCTGATGCAAGTTATTCTGTTGAAAATATAAGACTGTTCTATTGATTCTTCCCAGGCGCTTGAGAGACAAAGGAGAGGATGACAAGATGCCCCCTATTCGAAAGAAGCAGCGTGGCCTGATTATGAAGCTGCAGCAGGAAAAGGTAAAAATTACTTTGAAGATAGGGCCACTAGCATGGGGCTGGCAACTGGCAGGAGACTCTCCAGTTAGGAGCCCCCTCCTTGCTGGTCACATCCTACCCTCCCTGGTGATGCTCTGGCGTTCAGCCAAAACTCTTATCGGCATCACTTCTGACGTGGCTGAAAGTGACGTCATCGCCTTCCTGGAGACACTCTGGCATTGTACCATGAGTTTTGGCCAGTTGATAGGACATTGCTGGTGATGCCATGACTCTTGAAATTACATCATGTTGCAGGCGATCGCCCTCCGTTCTCCCGCAGCCAGCTGAGTGGCAGCAGGAACGGCTGGCCTGGGGGGCAGGAAGTCTCCCTACCAAAGCAGGAGACCTGGCATCCCTTGTTGAATCCTGACTTCTGCAGAACTGAGAGACTGCTTCTGGTTGTTGAAGTCTGAGCTAGTGTGGTTGAGAGGCAACACTAAGCCTGTGCTGCATGATCTCAATGTGTAGGTATCAGGAGCACTGAAAGTCTTGTGGCCTTTGGAGAAGCTCCCTTAGATGTTGAGGAAATGTGCACTAGCAGCACATTTATTCAGCCACACCACATTGTTTTGTACTGCTGGTGTCTTCATGCCATCAGGCATGAAATAAGCTACCTGAAAGATCCCCCAAATCAGGGCCAAAGAAGCATTCATTTAAATATTTGCAGGCCTGCCAAGGGCACTTAGTCTTCATTGGCCCCGGTCACACGGAACATTAGGCACGCTAGAGAGACGGAAAATAGGCAGATTTTCCGGGCGCGATCTCACCGCCACATCTGGGAAGCGTAGAGCTCCCGTGGCTCACTCGAGGCTTCACTCCGAAGATGTGCTGTAAAAAACTAGTACCTCCAAAGTACTAGGGCGGGTGTCAGATCACATTTCTGGTGTTAGCTCGTGGCATCCAGCACCCGCCCATGTCCCGTCGCGAAAATATATTTTTTTTGTCAAGTCTCCAAGGGTGCGCACAAGCACCCAACGGCGCATGTGAACACTTGGGTTAAAAAAACAACACAACCCCCGCGGCGGCGCTTCTTTGCCGCGCCGCAGGAGTGAGGTATGATCCGCACCTCCCCCCAACCACGGGACGTCGGCGGGACGTCTGATCCGGCTGCTGCGCGGTAGTTCACTCCAGGGCAAACAGCCACGCCTCCCCCCCCCCCCCCCCATAACCGCACACGTGCCCGGCCCGTGTGACCGGGGCCATTCTTAGCCGTACCAAACCAAGACATTTGGAGGCCTCATGCAAGGCAGGAGCTTTTTAAATAATGTAGTTTATATCTTTAGATGTAGTATAAATACTGTACAAAAACATATCAGATGCTGCTAGATGATATATCCAGGCTTTGCATAGTGTATTCACATACGTTATTATATATCATGATTACAAATTAGAGAGGGGGAAGGGGAGAAGAGTTAAAAGAAATAGATTCTGCTTACTCCATGTCGCAGTTGCTTGAGGTACTGAGCTCCAGGCAAAGATGAATACCATCGTGCACAGCTACCTTATTGTATAGTACTAACAATAAGTAGTATAGTGTATGAGAGAGTAATTTCTTCTCTTTTCTGGTAAAGAATGAGACCAGTGGAGGGAGGCGGAGTTGTGGATGAAGCGTATGCTTCTCCAATTCCACGTTGTTACAAGCTGCCGTGCTCTTTGCGCTGTTTGCAGCTTAAAGAGTCGGGGTAGGGTGCAGAGTGAATTGGGGTTGGAGGGAGACCTTCCCTGGCTCTCCCAGTAGCAACTTTGCAGGTGAGCAGACTCCTCAGAATTTTTCGGACCTCCTGGGAAGGGTAGTACAGAGGTAAAGTCCAGATGTGGATTTCCAGTTGCGCTCTTGTGTGGTATGAAGGGGGAAAGGCTGCAGCTTTTCCTGTGATGTACAGAGACCGTTTCCAGGAGAAAGGTGGGTGTGGCCCTGATCCAGGTAGAGTTGGCTGTGTCTGAGTTTCACTGAGAGCTGTAGTTGTGGTCTGAAGAGCATTTTTCTCGAATTAAGCACCACTGAATAACATGGGGCTTACTTTTGAATAGTCCTTAGGCCTGCCAAATCTCGCCAAATCGCGGCGGGGGATCTGCATGTCTCCGCAGAATCCTTGCTGCGGGGACGGCGAGACGCGTTGCACTGCCGTCACCAGGACATGACGCTGTGCGTCGCTCTGGCAACGGGGCTGTTTGGAGCCCCGTTGCCAGAGCAACGCATAGCGTCAGATCCTGGCGACGGCGGGTGCAACGCGTCTCGCTGTCCCCGCGGCAAGGATTCTGTGAAGACCTACGATCCCCCGCCACGACTTGGCAACCCTAATAGTCCTGATTAGGATTGTTGCATCTAATTGGATTCAGCTGAATTTAGTCATGACTAGCTGTAGTGTGATTCTTTCCATAGAGTGCAAAGGCAAACAATTGGTTTTTAATGTCATTTTGTTTCTTTAGTATAAGATTTAAATCATGCTCATCAGCCTAGATACAGGCTTTTGAGGAAAATAAAATAAATGCACCATTTAAATAAATATCTTCGTCGTGGTCTCTGTGCTTCACACCAATGGGGATCATTGCATGCGCTGGATCGATCGGTGCTGTAGCAAGCTCTTTTAACGGATTTTTGCGCCCAGTCCCTCGGGCATGCACAGGAACCCCACCGCGCATGCCCAGAGGGGTGGGCGCAGACATCCTGCCAGTTCTTTTCTTACCGCCGCGTTGGAAAGACCTTTTTCCTTCTCGGTCTGATCAGTTCGCTGTTAGCTTCGCTATTAGCTTCGTCTCACAGCTCTTAGGAGTTATTTTCTAACGTCTTTTTCATTTTCAGTTCGTTTTTAGTTGTTTGCTCTAAAAAATATATTAATTATTTTCTTCTGAGGAGAATTTACCTCAGGCCTTCGGGCTACCCTCCCCCCTCAACCGTTCCCTCCATTTCTCTTCTTTATGGAGAAGTGGGGAGTTTTTAAGAGATGCAGACGCTGTGGTAGCAAGCTTGCTCCTTCAGACCATCACACCCTCTGCATCTTTTGCCTCGGAGAGTCTCACAAGCCGGAGTCCTGCCGTCATTGTGCACGTTTCTCCAACCAAACCAGGAAGAACCGCGCTGCGTGCCTTAAAGTGGCATCGCTCGAATCCGCCCTTGCTCCCGCCTCAGAGATAGAGGAGAGGCCGTGTACATCGACAGCTCCGACACCAAGGCCTGCCTCCGATGTCAACCACCCGACACTGAAGCCCTCAACATCAAAGACACGATCGTCCGCCTCTACGCCAATCAAGAAGAAGGCTAAGGCAAGTACAGAACATAAGTCCGCGAAGAAGGGCACCTCCAAGTCCCTTAAGATGGCGAAGAAGGGGAAGGAAGCGGTGTCTGCATGGGTGATGCCCCTATAGTGCCTCCCGCTCCAATGCCACTGCCTTGTCTCCCAGGAGTCTAAGGTCCAGAAGTCGCTCCCCAAGAGTCTTCCTGCCCCCCCCTCCACCAATGGCGTGGGATGAAAGACAGTTGCGGTACCTGTATGGGGCTTATCCACCATCCATGCCGTGGTTGACTCCTGCGGGATATTCTGAGTGGGATCGCTATTCGTTCCACTATGTTCATAGGTCGAGGTCTCCTCACAAGTCGAAACCTTCAGCATCTCTTTCACGTCCTCCTGTAGTAGAACCATTACACCATGCCATGGAACCAAGCCTTCCTATTAACCCTCCCGTCACTCCAAAACCTGTCGTTCCTGTCGTCCGAACTAAACCCGTAGTCTGTCGTCAAGACACCTCGGTCCACACGGCACAACACGATTCTTCTGATTTCATTGAGGAGGACTCAGATACGGAGGCTTCTGAGGCTCACACCTCTCCTGACCATGCATCTCCAAATCAGGATGTCACGGAGGATTTACCTGTATCTCCATCTGATAACCTCACTTCGTACACTGATCTAGTAAAAAGAATGGCCCACTCTTTAGGCCTCTCTGTCGTCCAACAACATCCGCAAGCGACAGATTCAGTTTACGATATAGTTCACCTGGATACATCTTCCACCTTGGCTTTGCCTATGTCCTCAGTTCTTTTACAGGCACCGAAGTCTCCATAGCTCAAACCTTCATCCGCTCCTGTTTCCACAAAAAAGCTTGACCACATGTTCAGGGTCCAAGAGTCAGAGGCCGAGTTTCTATTCTCACACCCTCAGCCAAACCCCATGGTTATAACATCTTCCTCCAAATCTAAGAAGATGTATTTGGCAGGCGTTTCTATTCCACAGGGACATTGGGAGTCAAGGCCACTAACTACCTGGCCTGTATGAACCGGTATCAGTATACTCTCTGGGAACGGTTCTCAGAGCTTCTCAGCCATCTCCCAGACGATAAACTTCAGGCAGCAAGACTCTTACAAAAGGAAGGCATGGTGTTAGCAAAACAACAGCTTAACACTACCAAACATGTCCTCGAGGCATCTTCAAGAACCATGGCCTCTGAAATAGCTCTCAGAAGACATTCCTGGCTTCGCAACACTAATCTCCCATTAGACACCAGATCTTATGTGTTGGATAAGAGCATTAAGGCGTCTCGAGCAATGTTCCCTCTAAGCCGTGGAGTCTTGTGAGCAAAAATTCTACTTTGTGAGCTACTGGCATTAATGTTGTGAGCAAGCCATTTGGCTCCTGCATTAATTAGTTTGCTCTGGAGCCATCCTTCCTGAGCTGAGACAAAAATGTGTGAGCTGGAGGATAAAAAACTGTGAGCTAACTCAGCTTAGAGGGAACACTGGTCTCGAGCACTAGGAGTCTCATCCTCTGCGAGGCAACAATACCGTCCCCGCACCTGGTCGAGGTCCTGGCAGAGACGTACCCCAACTCATCAGTCTCCGGTCACAAGATGGAGACCGAGAATGTCTTCAGGAGGCCAAAAACCCGCCTACCAAAAGCCAAAGTTCAGTTCCGGACAACAAGCTTCCCGCACCAAACAACCCAAGCCCTCCAAACAGGGTTTTTGACTTTCCTGTCGCCGAGTCAGCTCATACCCGTCTCTTTCCATTTATCCATGCCTGCCGTCTCATCACCTCAGACGAGTGGGTCCTGTCCATCTTGACCCGAGGTTACAAAATTCAGTTCCATCAGAATCCCAACACTCCGGTCGTCGTCTCCACACCCCCTTCCCCACCTCTCCTCGAGGAGGTGTCCGTCCTTCTGCAGAAGGGAGCCATCAAACGTGTACCACCACACCTCCAGGGGACAGGATTTTACTCCCGATACTTCACAGTCCCGAAGAGAGACAGAGGCATTCAACCCATATTAGATCTCAGGGAACTGAACCGTATTGTGACCTACCACTGCTTCCGCATGGTCTCCCTACAACAGATCATGCCACTGCTTCGCAGACACGTCTGGATGGTCACCCTAGACCTCCAGGACGCATATTTCCACCTCACTATCCACCCCTTCCACTTCCAATACCTACGCTTTGCAATTGGCCAACACCACTATCAATATACGGCCCTACCATTCGGCCTTTCCAGTGTCCCGAGAGTTTTCACAAAGACTATACAATACATCGGCGCTATCTTGGACTCAAACACATGCATGGCTTACCTGCCTCCAGACAGGGCCGCAGACATAATTTCCCTAGCCATCGTCGTCCATACCCAACCCTCTGTCACTGCCTTCCAAATCCAGAGGCTGCTCGGTCTTATGGCTGCGACTACGTCGGTTCTCGTCTTTGCAAGACTCAAAATGCATCCCTTACAACTATGGTTCATTCGCAACTACGACCTGTCGAAAAACGCACACACTGTCGTCCTATCCCCTCCTCCCAGCATAAAGGACTCTTTACTTTGGTGGACTGTCCCTTTGAATATCCTTCAGGGAGCGCCCTTCCACCCTCCATCACCCGAGGTCACCATCATGACGATGCTTCCCTGACGGGGTGGGGTGCACACTGCATGCGCCTTTCTGTTGGAGACAAGTGGAACACACATACAAGGAACCGACACATAAACTTCCTTGAACTCCTGGCCATACAATACGCTGTAACCAGTTTCCTCCCCTTAATCAAGGGAAAATGTGTCACGGTCCTAACGGACAACACCACAGCGGTATCCTACGTCAACAGACAGGGAGGCACTGTCTCTGCACCCTGCCTCTGCACCCTGGCAATCAATTTGTGGGAGTTTTGCATCACCAACGACATATTCCTCGTGGCCACTCACATCCCGGGACGCATGAATGTGGAGGCAGACCATCTAAGTCGAGCAGGACTCAGCCTTCACGAGTGGGGGATGAACCCAACATACCTCCTCCCACTCTTCCACAGGTGGGGAGCTCCCCAAGTCGACATTTTTTGCCACAAGGAACAACAAAATGTGTCCTTTGTTCTGCATTCGAGGAGGCAACGACCCGCAATCTCTCGGAGACGGCCTCCTTCATCCTTGGTCCTCGACACATCTTTACCTGTTTCCTCCCTTACCTCTGCTTCTGATAGTGGTCCGCAAGATACTCAAGGACCACGTAAACTGTATCCTAATAACACCATGGTGGCCAAGACGGCCTTGGTTTTCAACAGTCCTCGAGCTATCCTGGGGGATATACCATCAGTTCCCCCCGGCCCCGGACCTACTCCTTCTCTCAGACTCCCCCATCCTACATCACAACATACCTCAGTTGAAACTGATGGCATGGCAGATACCATCGCAGACTTCTCCTTACGTGTAGTGAACATCCTTTTAAATTCCAGGAAGCTCACTACTCGGAAGTCCTACGACTATAAATGGAGAAGATTCTGTTCTTTTCTG